TGGGATGTGAAAGAAAACATTAATGGAGATCTTCAGGGTGGGCTTATGTCTGAAAAGGGAGGAGTCCACCAGATGTTTGTGAAACAATTTCAACTGAGGATCAGGTTGAAATGTTGGTCTTCCCAGCCCTGGGATTTGAATAGTTCCTATATGAGGTTRGTGTATGAACAGAAGTGCAGGAATGGTCTTGTGTTTCCACACAAATTAAGACTATAGGAGAAAGAAAAGACTATGGGGCCCATAGAGAAGGGAGAGAGGGGCGGTTCTGTTTCGGGGGGTGGGGGGGTGGGTGAGATCATTTTAAAAGAAGCAGTGAATTTTAAAAAGACACATATACACATACGCAAATGTGTGTTGTGTATGTATATGTATAGTGAAAAGTGACACTGAATAATAGAGTGTGAACCCACGGTGCCTGCTCATATTCACAAGCACTAAATACAAGAAAATACCAAGGACCATGGAGCCATGGGGATGCCATTTATGAACAAAAGCTATTTATGAGAATGAGAAGCCTCAGAGTGGGATTATTGCTCTTGTTAGGTCCCTCTGGGAAGCAAATTAGGTGTTTAAGGAGGTGTATTCAATTCTTTTAGATCTCTACATTACATTTACTGGAATGACAATAATAACATGCTGCTCCTGGCTCCCAGAGGAGCCTTTCTTAACTCCAGGAACTGAGCCTTCCTCTGTGCAAGGTACAGTGTGGAGACTGAGGAAAACAAAGGCTCTGGCTACACTCTGCTTGTGTTTAAGGAATTTTTAAGCCAGTTGGGGTGACAATGCACCATATATGTAGACATATGCACAAAATAGAACCCAGTATATAGGTGCCAGTAAGAGTAGAGTCAGTGAATTCTATACTGGAATTAGGGRTGGGAGAGAATTGTAACTACATTCAGTTAGATGATTCTTTTGTCCRTTCATTTATTCCTCGTTCAATAGACATACATCGGGTGTCATTATGCCTTTCTACATGTCAAACACTTTGAATAAACTGATGATTAAGTCAGGATATTCAATTTAATTCTAGTGAAATGGGGAATAGGGATGGTCAGTTTCTGCTGGCAGAGTTACACTGTACCCTTGGATKATTCCAGCCTCTGGGTAATCTATCTGATGACTCAAAACAGGCATTTCCCTGGCAGTTAGGAGCAGATTTTATTTTATTTATTATTTATCTGCAGCACTAGGTATTGAACCCAGATATATATATCTGGGTTCAATACTTAGTTCACATCCTATGTATATATCTGGCCTAGAATTTGCAATCCTCTTGCCTCAGTATCCTGAGTTGTTGGGATTACAGGCGTATACCACTATGTCTGATTAGGAGAAGTTCTTAGAATAAAATATTTCTGTTAAAATTAGTGTCACTTGGATTTTAATACTAGATCTTGTCCTCATTAGCACTCTTGTTCAGTGAAGCTAACCCCCAAACTTCTCCAAAAAACATGCTTTAAGAAATATTAATAACTTGACAAAATTTTAAAGCTGAGAATGATCTACTCAGTTGTTTTATTAGTCATTGATTCCCCTAATGTTTCCTAAACATAAAAATAAAAAGGTAGGTGCTAATAGTGCCTCTATTTTATAGGTGAGAAAACTGAGCCTTAGAGCCGGTAGGTGACTATGTAATGGCTGTGATCACACAAAGCCTAGGGTAGGAGTTTGGGCCACATCTAGGTTCAATTGGGTAAAGGCTCATATTCCTTTCTGCTCTTCTGTGTTGTCATCTCTATAAATGAAGGTCCAATAGTCACTTTTAATATTTACAAAAACATAACAGAAATTGTAATTTTTAAAAACATTCATGGTGATTTTAGAGGTGAATGGGGTGATACCTTTCCTTACCCACCATAAAGGGTCACAGATAACATTCCATAACAAAAGACAAGTTAATGAGAGAAAAGCATAGCACATTCATTTAATCAAAATTTTAGTGACACAGATCCCTCAGACCGAAGACCAAAGATACTAAGGAAGCTCTTTGATTTTGAACATAGGTTCCATGAAGCAGGGGCAGCCATATAGAAAATGTAATTAGACGAAAGGGACTGAGCTACCAGATATAGACAGAATGGGGAAGCCCAGCAAGCCCTGATCAGATTCCTCTCAATCTCTCAATAGTAGCATTTTCCTCTGGGGTTTGGGACAGGACCCTGGTGGAATGAGGGTCTTAATGTTTTTATGGCCAGTAATTTACACAAAAAAAAGCAAGAGAAAGTTGGAGTAATATTTTTATGCCTGGCTTTGGGGAGAAAGGGTTCTGGTTTCTATGACCCACCTTGGGGAAGGGAATTTGTTTCTATGGTCTTGTTTTGGGGGAGAATGAGGAACTAAAGACAGGAAGGCATGAGAAAGGCAGAGAGAACTTGGTTCAGAGACTGCTTCTGAGATCTTCCAAGGGCATTTAATTAAAATACACAGCCTTCCAGTGCTTTGGGATATTGTTATTGTTCATCGATGTGATGAATAATATGACAGGTGTCAGGACCTCACACAGTTTGACAATATTGGTGATTCCAGACAGGTTAGAAGCATGGATTTGCAATTAGAAATATCTTTGTTTAATAAAAATGTTACATAATAAGTGTCCCTTTAAAATATGGGATCACCTTTATGGGGAAAGAGCAACTCCCAACACTATTTCTTTATTTCTGGATAAGGAAATTGGAACCTAAGAAGTTAGGCCAGCTACTCTACAGAGGTATATTTGAGAGCAGAGTGGGTGGGAAGTGTTGTAGTAGTTGATAGAAAAATGAGTTGAGTTCATTGATCTTAAATAAATTAAACCACCCAAGACATTTCGTGTGGATTCAATTCTTGCTTGGAGTATATGTGGCATTATCTCTTGTTAAACAGTGAAATGTAGTATAAAATGGAGAATATATCTTGGTACTGAATCTTATCAACTTTACTTTTGGGGGGAGGGGAGGTGAGGACCTAACCTCGGGTCTGGCGTGCACTCTAAGCTACTTCCCTAGCCTTTCAACTTTATTTTTTTAAGAAGCCATTGGTATTAAAAAGAGGTTCTAACCCAAAGGCACCATTGTTATTCAAATGTGTGGAAATCAGCAGCTTGCTGAGATAAGAGCACAGAATATGGAGTTAACCAGCCCCAGAGGTGAGAAGGGCATACTTGGTTCTCTGTTTTATGATACCCTGGAACACAGTCTATCAAAAAAAAAAAAAAAAATATATATATATATATATATATATATATATATATATATATATATATATATATAAACTTTTGAAAGATAAAGAAGGAAGACAAATCACCCACAATAGTATACCTCTGTTTGGAGAGCTGCTAAACACTTCCAACTTCTACTGTTAACAACAATTTCCCTTGCTTCTTACCTTTTAGAAAGCACATGGAATTGTCCAAAGCACAGATATTTAATCACTCTTCAGTTAATAACAACCAAACTGGGGTTTCTTCAGGACAAAGGCAAGTCATGGAATTTTGGTATCCTTGCATGCTAAGGAAAGCAAGCACTGAACATGTTCAGTGCTCAGTGAGTGACTGTTCAGATAAAGTATTGAGTCAAAGTCTGAATAAATAGCAACCAAGATTCAGAATTATGAAGAACTGCTAGAGTCCAAGGAGTGGAGGTTTTATACATATACAATATGGTACTTATCTTAAGGAGTACCCAGTCTAGTAGCTGAAGGTAGAAAGGAACAAGTTTATTAAATGTGACATACATAGTATCTTCTATAAAGGCAATGAAAGTTAAGGAACACAATAGAGGGAGAGAGACTTGGAATAGCCTCCTGGCAGGAAGAGGGTGTGGACAGAGGAAAGGAGCCTGGTGCTGGAAACTCATTTTTGTATCGAGGGGAGTTTACCAAACCGAAGGGACTGCTGGGTAATGTGAGTTGTATTGGCCAAATAGACAGTTGATAAAACAGAGAAAAACCAGGGCCAGGAATTTAGACTTGATAGAGCAGGAAATCTCTTAAGACCACCCCACACCTTTCCCTTGAAGTTATGTATAAATACAAATATATCTTCACAAAGAGGCAACAAACACTGCAGCTTAGTATATGTACCTTCTAAACCAACTAAGATTGTTTAGGCTTTTAAAATGCAAAAGGCTTTAGGCTTGCTTTCACCTTCAATTATCCAATCCACAAGTTAATGGAGGACCTACCAGGGCTAGAATTTTGTTAGGCACCATGGGGAAGGGTGGTGCAAAGATGAATGAGCCTCAGTCTGTATCCCCCAGGAATTTACTGCTCAGTGGTGGAGACATATGTTTACACACGAGTCCTTTTAATACGACGTGAAAATGTAAACGCAAAATTGGATTGTAGGGGTTCAGGTCTTGGAGATACAACATGGAGGTGGTGTGGAAAATTACAGAGGTTTTTTAGAGGAGTTGGTTTTGGAATCAGTTTAAAACTGTGATGGAATAGAACATGTGTTCTTTAAGACTCTGGAAGCCCAAGGGGTGGAGTAAGGAACAGTGGTCGGTTGGTCGTTGGAACGCTAGGTTCCACAAGGAGCGAGGGTGGAATTTAGCTGAGTATATATCCAGTAACAGAGGCTGGGACCAGGCAGAAGGAAGCTGAGCTAAGACTTTATTCCACATCTCTGTGTTCTGATTTAGCATCTACTGATTTCCTTTAAAAAAAAAAAATTCTCTCCTTTTTCCTAAAGAGAGTTCTAGCAGTTGGGGGTGGGGGTGGGGACCATTTCCTAAAGTCAACGCATGTTAGTTGAAGGTCTGCGAAGCGTCCGTGGGTGATTTAAATCTCGCACTTCAGGAGCCAGAAAAGGAAACGTGTGAGCGGTTGAGTAAGGGGCGCCCATGTAACTACAACAACAACAATATACCCACCAGCCCTTGGCGGGACAGGCTGCGAGCCAGACCGGGGAGAGGGACGCCAGCGCAGGCCTGAGCTCGGATCCACGAACTGGCGGGCAAGGGGTAGTAGAAGAGAGGGAGGTAGGGAGGGAGGGAGGAAGCGCGAGAGGGAGGGAGGAAGAAAGGGAGGGAGGCGGCGTCATGTGATCCGCTTCCCTGCTCCTTTAAGCGTCCACAGGCGGCGGAGCGGCCACAATCACAGCTCCGGGCATTGGGGGAGCCCGATCCGGCTGCGCTGGGGGAATCCGTGCGGGCGCCTTCGGTCCGGGTCCCATCATCTCTGCGCTCCCGCACCCCTGAAGTTTTGCAGCGCCCAGAAAGGAGGCGAGGGAGGAGGGAGTGTGAGAGGGAAAGGAGCAAAAAAAGCACACCCTAAAACATTTATTTCAAGGAGAAAAGAAAAAGGGGGGGACGCAAAAATGGCTGGGGCAATTATAGAAAACATGAGCACCAAGAAGCTGTGCATTGTTGGTGGGATTCTGCTTGTGTTCCAAATCATCGCCTTTCTGGTGGGAGGCTTGATTGGTAAGTGCGAGAGCTGCAAACTTTTCCCCCTTTCTCTCTTTTCGGGCCCCTTCCCTCTTTGCCTCTTGGGCTACTTGTTACAGTATCACTGCCTTGCTTCTATGATCTAATTAGTCCGGCTATTGTGCTTAAGAAAGCAGAGCTCCATGGGGCTCTGTGGGGCACAATCCAGTCTAGTGGCTGGAGAAAAGGAGGGGAAAAAGTTTTGGCCTAGTTTCAGTATCCACTTGAAAGGCAGGAGGGGGGTGCGGGGGTGGGAATCTTAAGCATGGCGACGGATCGCGCGAGGAAGCTCTGGGTTACAAAGTTGATTGCTCCCCCCACCCCTGCTTTTTCCCGCGTTCCCCCCTTTTCCTCTCTGTTTCCTTCCAATCAGCTCCGGGAGGGCAACGTAATCGACTTTATTAGGAACAACAGAAGAGTCGGGAAACTGCGCCCAGCGCAAACCCGGAGCTCTGTTACAAGGCTGCGGTGGTTGCATGTGTAAATGCATTTGGTTGTCTCAGGGGGTGAAGGCTTGCACTTCGGGCCCCAATGTTTGTGCTCTGCTTCCTCGCTGCACCCCCCACTCCACGGTCCGCGGGGGACTGGTTTGAACCGCGGGCTGGGAGGTGCGATGGGGTAAGAGTGGGTCGTAAGAGTCTTCGGCTGACCAAGCGGGAAGTTGGAGAGGTCGGAGGAGAAAAGCATATCGGAAAAGTTGCTTTTGGCCTCCTGTCCTCTCGAGAATTTCCCCTCCCCCACTTCTTAGAGTCCCGAGATCCTTGAGTCTGGAGCCTGGAGCCCTCTCCCTTGGCGCCTAGGAGGGCGTCTCCGCTCCCGCCAGGGCTCCCCGCAGGTGACAGCTCCTAAATGCCGCTGGCGACGGCGTCAGTCCTGGAGACCTCCGGTGGCGTGCACCTCTCGGACCTCTTGGGGCCAAATTGGCTTCCGGGTCGGAAGATCGTCTCACTCACGATCCACTAGAAAAAACCTCACTTTCTCTCACTGTCTCTCCATCACCATCCATCCTCCCGCCTCTTGGCACACTCGCGTCCCTTTCCTCTCAAGATTGGGACWTCCTGGCACAAACTTCAGCGCCAACTTTGCAGCGGGCGCGGTTGCGAGGTTCAGTTCCTTTACTTCGAGGCTTTGTTAAAAACTTTGTCTAGTAGAGACTGTCCACAGAAGGGGTTTGTCTGCGCGTCCTTTTTTCCTGGAGCCGGCGCGACTTGAGGAGGAACTGCCCCCGGGCGCGGGCGGCCGCGCCGCGGGAGCTGCAGGGGTTTGGACACCTTCAGCCTTCTGAGTAGCGTTTTGTCTGCAGACCCGGGTTTCATGAGAGCAAATTACCCGGAGTCTGGTCCTGTTAATCACTATTACATCCGAGCTAATTATTTTAAACAAAGGAGAGTGGGAGAAGCTTCAGGAGGAGTGAAGTTCTTGGAGGAGCCGTGCCTTTCTGTGTGCATGTATCCACAAAGCGGAAAAGGCTCCGAGTTTTCCAAGCTCCAATCTTCAATGTGGGCTAAACGGCTTCTTTTTTGTTTCTGGAACACTCAGTCACACCACACGCACGCACACTTGCACACACGGGTTTGGCTTTTGTGTTTGGCTTCTTACAATCTCCATGTTTCCCTGTATTGGATTTTTCGAGGCCCTTAATACCTTCTCTGCTGGGAGCTGAAGACAGCCTTCTCTGTGCCCTCACAGTGATTATGCAGCGGTTACAATTACACCTCTTGTCTCCCTTGATGAGCAGTTGCAGTTAGATGCCATTGGATCTTGTGTGATTTCAGTGGCAGACCATAATTAAAATTTCTTGCACCTTGTGCTTTCAGAATTAAATTGGCCTATTATCCCTGTCTGACCTTCATCCTCTTTGAGGTTTTTGCACAAGCAGCGAACCATTACACATAGTTTCCAGGTGTTTGTTGGTGTGTGTTTCTTTTTCTAAAACTGATCTCTTGGGCTTGGAGAGAGCTCTTTATCCATGTAGTAGGTTTCCTTGGGCACTTTTGAAACTAGTTTGATTTCTGGAATCTTACTACTGTGGAGGAGGTCCCAAGGCACTTTGAGTGTTTGTTGGGCATTAGAATTCCTATGGGGCCAGAACAGTTATTTGTTCAAAGCAGGGTTTGTCTGCAATAAGTAATGCCAAGAGTTATTTTCCCCCATAGAACCTGGTTAGTGACCATACTGGACAATATAAAAAAGGCAGGGGCAGGTTCTAACCRTAAGTAGATTCACCTCAATTAATAAACTGCTTTAGTTCTAACTTGCCCTATAAAAGAAAAATATCTATGCATAACATTTCTCCAGGAAATTGTAGAAGTTTACTGCTGCTTTCCTCCTTTCTCAATTGCAAAGTCTGTGTCCCAGTTCTGATGCCCAGTCCAAACAGATTGGATCCAGCCCACATTGATTGGTGTCTTAGCTTTTACTCTTGCTTTTGGGGTAGTAATTTATTTTCGCTCTTACACCAATCTAGGAACTTGAATATGGTATAAGACCCTTGGAAAATGAATATTAGCAAAAGGTAGGCCATTTGTTTTCCCACTCCAGTTGCCTAAATTGGAAAGTAGACAAAACCAAGCACAGAACAGAAATGCAGCAAAGTGAACAGGTGGAATCAGTAGTTTTTTCAACAGTTTGAGGACTGGAAAGTCAAGGTGAAGTTCAGAAACCATATTCTGTTCTCAGTGAGAAGAGAACTTCACTGCTCAATGCCACTGCTACTAACGGGGTCAGGTGTCCTGGGTGTGGAGTGTTTTTTCTAAAATATCTGCAGTAGGCCAAATGAGAAAAGAAAATGTCCATTTTGAACTGGCTACAATATGTGTGGCAACTTAGGAAGGGAGGGTCTAAACATCAAAGCACCTGATTGGATTGCAAAGGTACCCCACAGTTCTACACAACACAAAAGTAAACAACCATCATTCCCCAACAGTAGTGACAAACCATGAGCCCCAAAGTGACCAAGCAAGTGTGTTAATCAATAGACTTGTGTCCTCATTGGTAGATAAATGAGTTTAAGGTCTTTTTTAAAAGTTCTAATTGTATAACTCTTTTAGTATTCACAACGAGTTTTATGTTACATTTGGCCTGATGTTTGGTGCAGCCTTTTAGAATTGATGGAGAAAACATTAGCCATAAAAGCAAACATGAGGAATTGAGTTTTGGTTTAGCCAGATTAAATATACTCTTACCCCAGTGACCTTATTCCTAAGTTTGTTTGTCTGTTACTTGCTTTGTGTGTTAGGTTTTTTTTTCTTCTTCTTCTTTATGCCAGTACCTATGTGCTGCTACACATTGAATGGGATTTTGTAAAAAGGCTCTGAAATCAATATCTTATATGATAGAACTTAGGGTGTTTCTAAATTCAGTGATATATATCATGTTTTTGTGAAAACTTTGAGCCACTGTAAAAGTAGGCATCTGAATGTTTTCTTATTTATTCAGAAGTCTTCTTAAGTGACTAGTTTCTTCAGGTATGTAGAATTCATTTTAAACTTTAAGAACCCCTAAAGGAAAATAAGATATTTTAAAAGAAATAGCTTAATCTTGATCCTCCTGAAAAATAAGCTTGCAGAAAAATTTTAAAATAATGTTCCTTTACTTTCATGTTTGGAGAATTTAGTTCATGGAGAGGCAGCTTCCGGGGTTGGAAGGAAGAGGGGAAGGAGACCATGTGCCCTTAAACAAAAGTGCAGCCACTAAAAACTCATGAACTTGAATCCCTGACCTATTATGAACAATTTGCTCAGTTTCAAATTAGTCATGTCTGGGGGATATGATGGTTGAAAAAGCAGGTCACTGTTCCACCTGTTCTAAGACTGTTCAGAGTGTGAAGATTGGAACTGAATGAATAGAAAATTATTGCATTGTTTCAAGCATACCCACGAATGGAAGGATTCCACACTTAAATCTCCAAATAAATATCAGAAAATTGCCAACTATTATTTCTTTATGAAGGGTCACTGTTTCTTTTAAAAACTTCACTTATGTGACTGGCTTTTTGTTTGTTTTGTAAAACTGAGAAAATAATGTATATAACACATGCATACATGCATACACACACATGTAAAATCACTTTTCTCAAATGGTACATGGGTTTATCTACTCCTTTCAGTTATATGGCACATATTGAAATAGTTAAGTGAAAACTATTGATGGTCTTTATCTGGAAGTTGCAGAATTATGAAATTGCAGTTAACTCAGAATGCATGTGTTTGCTCCTCAGTATATTTGATTTTAAGCTTGTTGCATTTTTWAAAAAAATTCACGGTACATCAATGCTGTTGTAATTCTGTAGTATTTAGGTATCTGGTGAGAATCTTGAAAAGCTCTAATTAATTGGTTTTTGGTTCATATTTGTCCACGTTTCTGTATTTGATTCTGTTTTTTATTTTATAAAATTTCTCATCTGACTAAACCATGCCATTTTTTCTCTTTGGTAACTAGGTATTTAATGTAGTTTGTGAAAGTGCTATGAAAGCTCACAAATTCATTCTTTTTGAAAATAGTAATTTTTATAGTAATCAAAATAACATTATTTGACTTTTAAAAAGCTAAAGCATCTGCTTGACTGCTGCAGTAAAATAATGCTTGTGTGAACAGTCTCAAAGCTCTTTCATCTCTGTGTTCTTTCAGTACTACCTGTCTAGACTTCTTCTAGAACTTTCCTTTTCCTTACAAAAATGGGAAACAGTTCCTTGAGATCATAATATTATGTGTAGCCCTATGAAGTTTTCAAGTCCTCTGCCTGGAATACAGGTGTGGACTTAAAGCCTTCCCTACCTAGTTGACATTTTACAATAGTATGACCTTTGAATTAAAAAAAAATCACACAGACTGAGGAAAGAGTCTTACCTTATCTTCCTCAGGGTGACTCTACAGTGATTTAGGATTTGTTGAGATTATATGAAGGTCCGTTGCTTAAAGCTCATGTACCACTTACCTAATATGCAAAGTATTTATTAGGGCCTACTGTGTGCTCAGGATAGAGCTGCATGTTGACT